AATGTACCATGCCAACTGTGATTTACAACCTGATAGCAATATTTTTTGGACTACCAAGAAATGTATTGGTTAATTATATTGAAGATGCACTATGCAGAAACGCTCTGCCATTGCCTGGTTGCTGAAATTCTAATAGTTCGCCTAATTTCAGTTTGTGACAAAACAAGCAAGTATAGTGTAGATAATCATTGTTCCATCTAAACAGCTGTGAAATATATTTTCCATTACCAAAAATATTGTATTTTCAGCTGTTTGAAGCTGGTGTGCAAAACCGAAAGCAAAAGATGCAAAAACGAAACTTAACGGGAAGCATATAAATAACGCACATAGAACAGATCTACTGCTTTCAACGAGAATGACAGATCTATAACACATTTCTATGTGAATTTGGTCAGGTCACCCAGAAAGTTATATATTGCAGATTTTTTTTATTTAACTAGGCAAGTCAGTTAAAAACAAATTATTATTTACAATGACGGCCTACACCGGCCAAACCCGGACGACGCTGGGCCAATTGTGCACTGCCCTATGGGACTTCCAATCACGGCCGGTTGTTGATACAGCCTGGAATCGAACCAGGGGGTCTGTAGTGACGCCTCAAGCACTGAGATGCAGTGCCTTAGACCGCTGCGCCACTCGGGAGCATCATCCATTGAACTGTGTCCATCTATTCTGCCAACAATGCATTACTGTATGTCATGGAATTTTGAGTCAAATAACCTACTTTTAAAAACGTATAAAGTTGGTTTTGAAGCATAAACTCGGAATTTGATATTTGACAGATGTTATTATTGTATGTTTGTTTCATATCTGCAAAGTAGTTAAAACGAGTTCAGCTCCACTTTAGGGCCTAGTGGCTATGACATACTGATATATGCCATCGCCAGAACAGGACTTGGCTATCCAGCCTGCTAAAAGTTGGGGAGAGGCCAGTGATGGTTAGTACGAGTGTCCGGCAACTGTCGCACTTCACCCATCCGTTACCAAAAATGCGCACGTGGGGAATTTCATTCAACCAACCCCTCCTCCAAGAAATTCGCTTGCGCCTCTAACAATAGCGTAGCTTGTCTGAGTGCACAGTAAATCGTCCACTATCTAACGTTAGACACAATGTGGGCGTTCTTTCAGTAACGTTACTTGTTTATGTATAACAACATTACATAACATAACGACCTGCTTAACAATTTATAATGAAAGCAAAAGACTACCTCTAAAGTCAACTTGCTACACGTAACATTATGAAAAACACCGGCGGGACAAAATGATTGAACTTGCAAATCGCTGCCTCGCGTAACGCTAGCTAGCTTTAACGTTACATCCCTTCGCCGGCCGGGCCGTCTTTATCCCTTTGATACAATTATACACATAGGACACGACAAGGTGTAAACAACCGTAAAACAATATTAGCAAATTCTGCGGAGCTGATACCCTCTGAAATCTCCCAACTCGTTCACCCACATAAACCTCACCTGCCGCCGCCATGTTGGAGAGCGAGTCCGTACAAGATACCCGGATGAAGACGTCCGAAGTTTATTTACGAGAACGCGCATCTTTGGTCGCGAGCCTCAAATCCCTCCCGCCTTGCCCATGCCGTTTATTTTCTATTAGGACAATTTTCTATTACAATACAGTATTCTGTTATGGTGTGTATGCCTACATAGTACTGGCCAATTCTAGGCATCTCAAAGCGTTTTCATACTTTTTATTTTTTATATGTAGGCAGGATATGTGTTTTACATGCTGTTGTCTATTTTTTAATAATTATTAATTCATTTATCCATCAACCCATTCATTCATTTACTCATTTACTCATTCATTCGATTAATTCATTATAGTACCAACCTGACCAATAAAAACAGTCGTACCTAATGTCAATATTATGTCTTCTAGTCTCATGATTTGGTTCTGGGTGCCAAGATCCTCCCGAGTGGCGCAGTGGTCTAAGGCACTGCATCGCAGTGCTAGCTGTGCCACTAGAGATCCTGGTTCGAATCCAGGCTCTGTCGTAGCCGGCCGCGACCGGGAGACCCATGGGGCGGCGCACAATTGGCCCAGCGTCGTCCAGGGTAGGGGAGGGAATGGCCGGCAGGGATGTAGCTCAGTTGGTAGAGCATGGCATTTGCAACGCCAGGGTTGTGGGTTCGATTCCAGTATAAAAAATAAAAATGTATGCACTCACTAACTGTAAGTCGCTCTTGTCTGCTAAATGACTAAAATGTAAAAATGTAAATGTAAGATGAGGTGTCTCACTAACTCTCCATGTGTGTTTTTGTGCTTCATCTCATCTTGTGCTATTGAACTGAAAGTTTGCTGCACTCAAGGATAATTCACTGCAAGAAAAAAAACAAGCAGATTCACATCTTTATTTTTATAAACCAAAATAGATCAATATTCTAAGGAAGTACAGTTATTCCTCCTTATGTTATCCATTTTGTAGGCTATTGATTCAGTATTTGAGTGACAGCTTGTAGATATATTGATAACATAACCTACTGACCTTCATAATAGGTAGCATAAACTATGCATTGCACTCTAGTCTTTCTTATTTATTACCTATTATAAACTGGGTGGTTCGAGCCCTGAACGCTGATTTGCTGATATCCGTGGTATATCAGACCGTATACCACAGGTATGACAAAACATTTATTTTTACTGCTCTAATTACGTTGGTAAACAGTTTATAATAGCAATAAGGCACCTCCGGGGTTTGTGATATATGGCCAATATACCACGGCTAAGGGCTGTGTCCAGGCACTCCGCGTTGCGTCGTGCTTAAGAACAGCCTTATATGGCCAATTACCCGTGGTATATTGGCCATATACCACACCCCCTCGGGCCTTATTGCTTAAATGTAGCCTAACAGAGTAGCCTACTTAAATTCAAGAAGAGCAATAGCATCAATTGCTTCCTAAAGCATTCTGCTCCATAGTAGCCTATTCACAATGAGTTACAGTGGGGGAAAAAGTATTTAGTCAGCCATCAATTGTGCAAGTTCTCCCACTTAAAAAGATGAGAGAGGCGTGTAATTTTCATCATAGGTACACGTCAACTATGAAAGACAAATTGAGAAAAAAAACCCCGAAAATCACATTGTAGGATTTTTAATGAATTTATTTGCAAATTATGGTGGAAAATAAGTATTTGGTCACCTACAAACAAGCAAGATTTCTGGCTCTCACAGACCTGTAACTTCTTCTTTAAGAGGCTCCTCTGTCCTCCACTCGTTACCTGTATTAATGGCACCTGTTTGAACTTGTTATCAGTATAAAAGACACCTGTCCACAACCTCAAACAGTCACACTCCAAACTCCACTATGGCCAAGACCAAAGAGCTGTCAAAGGACACCAGAAACAAAATTGTAGACCTGCACCAGGCTGGGAAGACTGAATCTGCAATAGGTAAGCAGCTTGATTTGAAGAAATCAACTGTGGGAGCAATTATTAGGAAATGGAAGACATACAAGACCAATGATAATCTCCCTTGATCTGGGGCTCCACGCAAGATCTCACCCTGTGGGGTCAAAATGATCACAAGAACGGTGAGCAAAAATCCCAGAACCACACGGGGGGACCTAGTGAATGACCTGCAGAGAGCTGGGACCAAAGTAACAAAGCCTACCATCAGTAACACACTACGCCGCCAGGGACTCAAATCCTGCAGTGCCAGACGTGTCCCCCTGCTTAAGCCAGTACATGTCCAGGCCCGTCTGAAGTTTGCTAGAGTGCATTTGGATGATCCAGAAGAGGATTGGGAGAATGTCATATGGTCAGATGAAACCAAAATATAACTTTTTGGTAAAAACTCAACTCGTCGTGTTTGGAGGACAAAGAATGCTGAGTTGCATCCAAAGAACACCATACCTACTGTGAAGCATGGGGGTGGAAACATCATGCTTTGGGGCTGTTTTTCTGCAAAGGGACCAGGACGTCTGATCCGTGTAAAGGAAAGCATGAATGGGGCCATGTATCGTGAGATTTTGAGTGAAAACCTCCTTCCATCAGCAAGGGCATTGAAGATTAAATGTGGCTGGGTCTTTCAGCATGACAATGATCCCAAACACACTGCCCGGGCAACGAAGGAGTGGCTTCGTAAGAAGCATTTCAAGGTCCTGGAGTGGCCTAGCCAGACTCCAGATCTCAACCCCATAGAAAATCTTTGGAGGGAGTTGAAAGTCTGTGTTGCCCAGCGACAGCCCCAAAACATCACTGCTCTAGAGGAGATCTGCATGGAGGAATTTGCCAAAATACCAGCAACAGTGTGTGAAAACCTTGTGAAGACTTACAGAAAACGTTTGACCTGTGTCATTGCCAACAAAGAGTCTATAAAAGTATTGAGAAACTTTTGTTATTGACCAAATACTTATTTTTCCACCATAATTTGCAAATAAATTCATAAAAAATCCTACAATGTGATTTTCTGGATTGTTTTTCTCATTTTGTCTGTAATAGTTGTTGTGTACCTATGATTAAAATTACAGGCCTCTCTCATCTTTTTAAGTGGGAGAACTTGCACAATTGGTGGCTGACTAAATACTTTTTTTCCCCCACTGTATAATGAATGATTTTCTGTATGTGTTGTGATTATGTACTTTATGGATGTTTAGTTTCTAGTTGTTTACCTCACATTTGGTTTAAATTATGACTGTATGGTTATACACATGATAAATATTCATCAATTTCTTCCCTCATTACTAAACCACACCATCCTTAGTTTTATTGTGATAAGCTTTTTTTCCAATCACATATTATGATTTTTTCATGATGGTTTTAAGGTTTTTGTAACTTTACTTGTATTTCTTGTATTGCCACTTAAGAGGTGTTTATGAGTTTGTGACTTTTTGATTGCCAGTACTTCGTAATATGAAAAATTAATAATCTTTTAAAAATGGAATAACAGTTTTATATCCATCACATTAAAAAAATATACATTTGAGATACTCCTAAAATTTCGCAATGGGCTCAGTTCATCATGGTGCAAGAAACAAATATAAGAAACAACATGTTAAATGGTAACCATTGCATTTATTGCATCAAAGTTAGATTTTTTGTTGTTGTCATGATGACACGATGTTATGCCCATTTGATGGGTTTGACTCCTCTGCGTCTGTGGGTATATCTCTCTCTCCATGAAGTTTACAATTGGTCATCACTTTTGTCCGCCCTCATTCCCTTATGCTTTCAGTTCATCCATAGCGTCTTGGAGCCTGGAATAGAATTAATAGGTATTAGAACACAGGAAATGAATTCATTGACTGGACAGATGATACTGTCATACCTAGTTTTTACTGTAGATGGCGTCAAACCACCTCAAGTACTGTACTTCACACATACTAATTGCTACTGATGTGTCCAAAATCATATTTGTGTTTCTCCCATTTCACTTTGTCACAATTTCCAAGTATTTGAATAATGGTATGTGTCACCCCCACTTCCCCATCATTATTTCCTGTTTCAACTCCCTCAATTTTATTTAAACTATGCTCTGTGGCCGTTTGTGGTACTTTAACTTGAAGCATAGCTGACATAAGCATTGAGATGCTAAAAGAATAAACAATTTAATTACTATCAATCCTCAAGCCTAAGAGCAGAGTGTGCATCTCAATTGTCAAAAGTTGCTTCATCTCCTTCTCACATCCTTTCCTTCACCTTCACTAATGTGCAAGGAACTGGATTGGTGGACAAAGCCACCACCCTATAACAGTCACCTATCCATGTGTCTTTAGTTCAGTGCAGATGATGGAAACAAACAGAGGAGAGTCAGTCAGCCACTCCCCCTCATCCACTTGCTTGAAGTCTCTTGAAAGGAAGCCACTTTAGACTGAGACACAGCCCTAGTCAACTACTAGCCCCTATTCCCTCATCCACTTGCTTGAAGTCTCTTGAAAGGAATCCACTTTAGACTGAGACACACCCCTAGTCAGCCATTAGCCCCTTTAGTCCCTCGTCCACTTACTTGAAGTCTCCCCCATCGAGCAGGCTCCTATAGGTGGCGATCTCGGCCTCCAGCTTCATCTTCATATTGAGGAGTGCCTCATACTCCTGGCCCTGCTGCTGGATGTTGCCCCGCAGGTTGGTCAGCTCACCCTCCAGACGGATGAGGATAGCATTGTACTTCTCCACCTCCATGTTGGAGCGCATCTCTGTGTTGCGCAAGGTATCTTCCAAGGAGGATTTCTGTTGGGAATAACAGGGGAATGTTGGGAATGGTCTTTGAAATTTTGTTGAATGATACTGGGATTATTAGAATGTTGGAGATATGGATGGTATGGCTAAGGTATGGCAGCGGACTTCAAAAGGAGGTCGTACATAGAGGACATACATGGGCTACTATCAGTTCAATTTGTACTCGGAGGAATTAAGGAATTTTACGGAAATATGTTATCATATTGAAAGAATGTCCTTGCCAAGCTCTGTTGGGACGCCAGCTCGATCTCGAGGGTCTGTAACTGTCTCTGTAGGTCGCTCATCTCCATCTGGGCCCCCTGCAGGGCCTCTGTGTTCTGGGATACCTGCACCTGTACGTCTGAGATCTATACCACAGCATAGAGGAAGAAAGGAAGGGAAGGAGATAGGCAAGGAGATAAGGAGGGAAGAAAGGAAGGAGAGAGGGAGGGAAGAAGGGAAGGAGATATGGAAGGAGGGAAGAAGGGAAGGAGTTAGGGAAGAAGGGAAAGTTAGGGCTCTATTCAATCTGTAATGCTGAAGCGTTACAGATTCAGCGATATACATTTATAGGTCATTTCCGATTGCGCCAACATATGCAGCGTTTACCGTGAATGTAGTATCCGCTAAAGCGGGAACATTGCCTTACATTTCAATCACGCTGTAAAGCTGAACATCCGCGATGCGGATTGAAAATAGCCCTTAGTCATCTTGAAAGTTTAATTCATGTTTTGGATTTCAGGCTTTTTTTGTCTGACTAGACCACCCATACAACAAAACATTTTTTCAATGGAAAGCTACACTTTCAGTGGATAACATTTTTTATGTTGTCCAGTGGGTGTGGGTTACTCCATTTTAGTTCCAATTGCAGATCAAAAACCAATAATTATAGGTTTGATGTGGTGTGTAATGATAGTATGATACAATGATGTACCTTCTGGACACTGAAAATAAGATGGGGTACCTGGTTTTCGTGCCACATTTTGAGGTCCTTTGCGTTCTTCAGAGCCATCTTCTCGTAGTTGGCCCTCATCTCCTCCATCACCAGGCTCAGGTCCTGACCTTTAGGGGCGTCCACGTCCACCTGCACCCCTGACTGGGATATCTGGGTCCTCATCTCCATCACCTCCTGTTGGAGAGGGGTCGGAGGAAGGGGAGAGAGAGAGAGAGAGAGACAGAAACAGACAGCGACAGAAAAAAAGACAGACAAAGGAAAGTAAGGCATTCCAATATTAGCCAACTGTGAAATTTGAAAAGTTCATAGCTAGTGATAATGTTAGTCTGATATTATCACGTTATCGTTGTTCTTCATGGAATTGGATTGTTCCATTTATTCTATTTCTATTCTCCATACTGAAAATGTTATATTTCAAATGATTATTTGATATGGACATTCGATCTCAATGCTATAGCTCACATTGTCATGGTTCTTCCTGAGGAAGATGAGCTCCTCCCTCACGGCCTCGATCTCACTCTCCACATTCATTCTGCCCATGTTGGTGTTATCGATGACCTTCTTCAGCCCAGCAATGTCCGCCTCCACTGACTGACGAATGCTGTACTCAGATTCAAATCTGTGGGCACAGGGACACTCACTAAACTCTGCATTGACATGAAATACACTGACATTTTGGGGTAAAGGCACAAAATGGCTGCCATGTTTCAGTTTACTAGGAGTAGGATGGAGTTGAAGCAGACACTGATCTGAGGTCAATTTTGTATTTTTCTCCTCCTTTTGATTATCATTAGAATTTGGGGAGGGAAAGTTGATCCTAGATCTGTGTCTGTGGGCAATTACTATCTCTGGAGCAGTTCACCAAGGTTAAAAGAGCTATGCAGCATAGGGGTTGCATGTAAGAGGTTACATGCACATCAGACATTCACGTACAGATGCCAAGATGACAGATTCATTATGAGAGATTAGACTTTCTGTGCCAACTCTGCACACTGGTACCGGCACAAGACTTCCTCTCTTGTGGGTCTGGCATGTCTCAAACTCTTGAGAGTTTTTCCTTGCTTAATGGCTGACTTTATAGTGGCCCACTGGGCACACACTGGATGAACTAACGTTGTTTCCACATCATTTCAATGAAATTATGTGGAATAGACATTGAACTGACATCTGTGCCCAGTGGGGGGTTTGAGTCAATGAACTTTGTGAGAAGCACAAGTACAGTAGGAAATTGAACAGATCAATTGATTTTCATAACAGAAAAACAAAATCCCAAATGAACCCCTGTATTGTATACAAAGTTATGGCTCAACATGCGTGCAGAAAGATGTAATTTACAGTGGTAAACTCACTTTACTCTGAAGTCATCTGCAGCTAAGCGAGCATTATCGATTTGGAGGACAATACTAGCGTTGTCCACTGTCGCATCGAATACCTATTGGAGAAAAATATAGTTAATTTCCATTGAATATATACAAAAAGAGATATAATGGACTTACTTCTTATTTATCATGAAAGACAACCTATTTTCAGAAACTATTTTTGCATGTGACATAAGCCTGCTTTATGATGCTTTACTTTCCTTGACTTTTGAATCCATGTCAGTTATAGAGGAAGGCCTTTCCCCCATTTACTGTTTAATGCAAATATATATGAACTTCTAACTATAATTTTGTGTGTCATACATTAGCTGGCAATAAAAAAGAAGAACTAATATGTTCCATCATAGGATTTGCTGCTCATCACCATCCTAAAACCTGTTTTTAAAATGTACGCCTCCCAGGGGGGTGATATTGAAACCGCAGAGTCTGAGTGATTAAAACACAACTGAATGGGTCTGATGGGACCAAAACACAACTGAATCTATGGTTACGGCCATATAACTACGACTGCACCTGAAAAAGAGGAACCCGCAAACGGAAAAGCAGCAAAATGGGTTTCCGTGCCAGGGCTGTCTGTTCTCAGTTTGCATTGTTAGAGAAAACGGGCCAGGCTTCCTGTCCTCCCCCTCAATCTGTGTGTTTGTAACCATGGCATTCTGATGTGAATCACAAAAAAAAGGGGAACTCTTGTCGGTTTATGTGTCCGGCAAGTGGAACAAGGCTAACATTCATCATAAGAGTGTCATCATAAACTATAGAGGACTTTGGAATTCTTTTGAACAAATGTCCATTTTTGCAGGGATTCGTGAGATCTTGTTGGAATTCTTTGACTGTGCTGTTTGGAGCTATAATGGTTATAGAAACAACACACCCGCCAGCAATGTGTTTCCAATCTCACAGGGAATTCTTTTTGTGTGTTGTCACACACATCTGGTTCATATCGCTGGTCCCTCCCACACTACACTACGCCCCAGAGTGGAGACAGTGACCTGGTGAGGTCAAAACGCTTGGAACGTTGTGTATGGGTTTTGTTCCGTTTTTTGTGATTCATTTGAGGAACTCTTTGACCAAATTGAGGAGTGAGGGAACTAGGGAAGGAGGGGGAGGGAAAGTGGCTATCTGACTGGCCTGCCACACCCTCTACAATGATTTATATATACACTAGATGACTCACAGGGGGCGCTGTTTTGAAGCCTCCATCTTGGCACTCCCCCACCGTTGTAAAAACAGATTAATTTTTTTGGAAGCTATAGAAATGTATTTACAAAGGTCTGAATTTGTTTTTGCCACGTGTATTCTATTACCGACACCTTAATACATACCTTTTAATTATTTTTTGTGAGCTAAACATAAACATTTACATTTTAATAATATAACAAATAAATGTCCTTAAAGTATTAATTTTTGAAAGTACTAATGTTACTGTCCCCACTACAACAACAAAATACTCAAATACATGTAATTTTGTCCTTGAAACATTTAAATGAAATACTGTAGAATTCCATTCATTCATATGGAGGACTGCTTTTACTGGGGAGTGCCAATATGGCCGACTGGTAGCTTCAAAGTCTCTCATTGGCCAATACATAGCATCAGCAAAATCAGGGTTTAGATACATGATTGACCCTCTATTCAGTTAGGAATTTTGAGAAGCCAGTTGTTCCAATGCAGGGTTCCCCACAGAAATGTTGAAGTCAAAGCATAAGCAAAGTAAATTGGTAAATAAATAATTGTCATTATGCTTAAACTCATTCTTGGACAGACATCTTCTCTCATACCATAATGGGTTTTAGTTCAACGAAAAGTTGCAGGAGTGGTGACATTACATTCATATTTTGATTTACTGGTTGATCAAATCAACATACTAATCTAAAGCAACAAAGACAACAAAACCACAAATTCCTCAACTTAACCCTTTTCTTACACACATTATTCTTCCTCAACACACCCCCCCCCCCCCTCTCTCTCTCTCTCTCTTGTCTCTATCACTCTTGTAATGATACTGTATTTGTTTGAATGTGATATGGCTCAACACCCCCCTCTCTCTTTCTCATTCACACCCCCACCTTCTTGCGCAGGTCGTCCAGTATGGTGGTATACTTGCTATAGTCGCGGGCGTCCGGTCCTCCCTTCTCCAGGGCCTCTCGGATCTTCACCTCCAGCTGTCCGTTGGCCTGCTCCAGGTGCCTCACCGTCTCCAGGTAGTTGGCCAGGCGGTCATTCAGGTTCTGCATGGCCCCCTTCTCGTTGCCCATGACGTGACCACTGCCACCACCTACTGCCGCAGCGTTGATTAGACCACCCATGCCGCCCATGCCGGCACCCATGCCACCACCAATGCCCGTGCCCATACCACCGCCGCTCACCTTAAAGGAGGATGAGGAGTAGGAGGAAGAGCCGGCTGGGGCACCGCTGCGGAGGCCCCCGTAGGCTGCGGAGGAGATGCGGGTGCCCTGGCCGCCGGCCCCGCCATAGGTGCTGGCGGCCCGGTAGGAGGACACGGGCATGGTGCGTTGGAAGGAGATGTGACTGTTGGACGGTCTGTAACTCATGACTGCTGATGGAGTAGTCGGAACGAATGAACAAATGGAAAAGAGAGAGAGAGAAAGGAGCCTCTGAGCTGAGCTACAGAAAGAGTGACGTGGATAGAGTGAACCGGAGAACTTATACTTCCCCCACACAACCCTCCTCTCTCTCTCTTTTGCAGGCCGGCCTCCAAGACCCTGCCTATATCCACATCCCCCATCCTCTCTTTCCTACTCTCCCACCTCTTCTCTCATGCTCTCATTCCACACTCTTTTCCCTAGCATTTGCATTTGCCCTTGGACACTCCTCAACTTCTATCTACATGCAAAACGTTGCTAATTATGTTATTTTAGCATGAATCTAATGTAAAACACATATTTGTGAAATCTAATACAAGAGAACTTTCTATCTTGTCAATTCAGATGACAAATTCCTCACACTGCAAAAAGAAAATGTAAGACAGAAAAAAAGAAAGAGACACAAAAAGAAAGAGAAGAGAGAAGACTGAAGTTAATGATGAAGAAAACAATTAAAGAAAGCAAGGTTTTATCCTGGGCATGCTTTGACATTCTTTGGTTTTTCCCATAAAAGGCATAATTTGGAATGGTTGCTGCATACCCACTGGGCAAAAATGGGTTGAATCCACAGGAGGTTGGTGGCACCTTAATAGGGGAAAACGGGTTTGTGGTAATGACTGGAGCGGAATTAGTGTAATGGTATCAAATACATTGAACACATGGTTTCCAGGTGTTTGATGCCATTCCATTGCTCTGTTCCGACCATTATTATGAGCCGTTCTCATTGTTTCCACATTATTTCAACCAAACAATTCTATGTGAATAACATCCTAGCTAGCACATTTGGTTCCTTGGAAGTTGTGGGAACGTACATTTTTGTTTTCCCAATTGGTTCTGGGAACGAAGCCAGAAGTTTCCTGACCTGTAAAATGGAACATTTCTTAAACGTTCTGAGAACGGAAGTAAAAATGTCACCTGTTCTGGGAACTTACATTTTTAGGTTGCAGGGAGGTTCTGAGAACGTTTTACTATGGTTCCTTTAAAGTTTTCCTACGAGGTTTTATTAACATTTTGAAGGTCATTAAATAAAGTTCTGAGAACATATTTCCATAAGACTTTTAATAACACTGCTAGCTTAGTTCAGGTTAACTGTTTTGAACTCCATTGCCAGGAAGTTGTGAAAAGGTTGTATGCAAAATAACCATAGGACAACCAGGCTCTCACCAAGCTCTAAGAAACATATGGTTCTCAGAACGTTATGTGCTAGGTGGGATTGAATCAAGTGGAAAACTGATTGGATTTGAAAAAAGCCATCAATGTAAGGGAATTTCGTATTTTTTTCTTTTAACCTAAATCCAATGACATGGTGACATTTTTTTTGTTGATTTCACATTGAGTTCATGTTAGTTGAAACTAGATGTTGAACTGACATCTGTGCCCAGTGTGTAGTTTCTATGTACTTGATCAGCCAAACCCCCAAAATAACTGGATACGGACACACTTAGCAGTAGGGCTAAAGTAAACTGGCTTGCAGAAAGGAAAGGGAAAGGGGGATACCTAGTCAGTTGTACAACTGAATGTATTCAACTGAAATGTGTCTTCCGCATTTAACCCAACCCCTCTGATTCAGAGAGGTGCGGGGGGCTCCCTTAATCGACATCCACATCATCGGCGCCCGGGGAACAGTGAAGAGAATGGGCTGTTGCAATGTATGTAGTGATCACAAGAACAGCTTATTCCCATTAGTGTATAGAATAAGCATGTATTGAAACGCCCCATCACCCATATTAAAAAGGCAACACCCAAGCTTCAAATACACCTAGAACGGCACATTCTGTAAATGAGGTGATGTGCACAAAGACTTTGGTAAGCTGATACCACAGTGTCTCTGTCTCTCTGTCTTCGGCGATAGGATTGGGGGAAGGGAGGGGGTGCTCTTGAGTCACCTTTGAGTGATAGAATGCCGGACACTGATTTCACGAAATTCCTTGGTTGAGTAGTTGATATCTTCAAGGTGATACCTTTGAGAAGACGTCTGCAGATAGCTGTGACAGGCTGAATTATATCTTTTAGTGGTTTGTATCTGATTGATCATCAGGAATGTTGATTGTGTCACCCGAAAGGTAATAAGGTCACACAGACACAGACAGACAGAGCCATTGAGTTTTTCATCCAGTACACAAAAAACCCATCAATATCCATTGTTCTTAAGAAAACATACCAGAAAAGGACTGTGAGTGGAAACGTTACCTCTCAAAGGTCAGAAACAACATAGCATGACAAAATAGATGAATGGACAGACTTGAAAGATGCAGTATGTAACATTTGACTCTGACTCTTGCCACTTTTATTTTGACAATAAACAAGCAAGTTCATAGCCTCAAACTATCTTCTCAAACTAGCACATGTCCAGGGTGTGTACTTGTATGTCAAGCTGCCTCACGCTACAGAAACATGGGCCGTTCTTGCTCGGACAAGGCTTAAAGGGATACTTCAGGATTTTGGCAACGATGAATTCGGGGATACCATTTTTATGTTTCTGTGTCCAGTATGAAGGAAGTTAGAAGTAGTTTTGCGAGCCAATGCTAACTAGCGTTAGTGCAACGACTGGAAGTCTATGGGTATTGGCTAGCATGCCAAAATCCCGAAGTATCCCTTTAACGCTACTTGCTTTTTTACTTACTACAGCTATATCATAGACATAATTAAATGAAGGGCTATTTGTTTGTGGAAATGTAACAGATTGCACCAAAATAAAACCTGTGCCCTTAGGGAGATGGTCTCAAAGTTAATAGGTGGTGGCGTTTATAGCAGTGGAAAATAACCGGTTCCCAATGACCCTCACTGACGACACTACTGTATGCCCTGGTTAGAGCGGATTCACAAAATGGATCCCAGAGACAAAATAACAAAACACAGTACCCAGGGGAAGTTGGCTAAAGCTCATACACTTCCCCTGTTTTCTTTATACTCTGACTCTACCTCACCTTCATGGTTGATCAAGTTTCAAAGCTTCACCTCTTCATCATAACAGTTCTCATATCATTCAGTATGTATCAATGTCCAGTCATATCACACAAAGCTTGGACAGTACACCTCAATGATTTAAAACAGTTTAATGGCAGAAGAAGAGGAACTTCTCAATAGAATCAGAGTGACTCACCTCACTGCTTCTACGCCATTTCTAAATGTTTAAAATGATTGTCCACTTTGAAATTAAAGTTTGTCAGTGAAAATCCACATTCTACAATTGATTGTATACAGGCCATGGTCTAGCTTTAAATCCATTGGAGCATGCATTAAGCTCAAGACGTGGACTTATCTCAACATTTGACCTCTTTTGAACTAATCTGACAAACGTTTGTTTCGGGAGGCACTATCACTTCAAACTGCTGCATGTGCAGAAATCCAGGCCTTAGTAGCTCTGGAGACCCTCAGTCCAGGGAGGCCAAGGGAGAGAGGGAAAGAGAGAAGAAAATTGAGGAGAAACTTGAGACTCTGACTCATACCAATAACAGCAGGATTCTGGGAAACTCAACAGGAGCTTATGTGCTTCAGGGATTCTGGACAACTGTCAGAGAATGAAAGCTCCCAGCTTGATCTTTCTTGGATGAACTTGGACTTGTTCATTCTCCTCTTCTATTTTACTAACTTTCCACTCTGTTACCCCTAAACTCGGGAGTGCTTACCCAGCTAAGAAAATTACAGTGCTTCAACGTTGTGCCAACGTCATATGTCAGTAGGGCAGTTACTCACTCAATCCCATGACCGGGACTTGTGCCAGGGTGGGGAAAAAAAGAGGAACAAGGGTAAGAAAAGGGAGGGTGGATCTTGATCTCTTTATAACAAATTAGGAGTATAAATCTTAGATAAAGACCTGAGACACCCTGAGACCCTGAACATTATTGGATGTCCTGCTTACATTCTTATATCTGCGTGGGAATTCCAGTTTTACGAGCAAGGTGTGGCCATGGGGGTCTGTGCTGACCACGGTCAAGGTGTGAAGGTCACTTATCAGTCATGAGTGAAATGTGACAGTTACGGGCCATTTTCTCTCAGAGTTGTCATGTCCATCTTTAGAGTCTTAGTACCAGTATGTTCCGTTTTTACACATGTCCACAAATACAGTAACACACCATTGAAAATGCATAGTCAGCACAATGGTCACTTAATTAATATGCTCCCTTTTAACTTGCACACGTATATGACAACGAATACACGAACCCTCTACTGAAAATGCAGTCAATCACCACAATAGCCTCTTAAAGGGATAGTTCACCCAAATACAAAATTGCATAATGGTTTCCTTAACCTATAAGCAGTCTATGGGCAAGGTATGACATCAATCCATGCTTTGGTTTTGTTTAACTTTTTAGCATTTGTGGACCAAAACCAATGCAAGTCAATATCCTATATTAGATTGCTTACAGCAGGGATCATCAACTAGATTAATCCGTGGGTCAATTTTCTGTTGAGCGGATGGTCGGGCGGCCTGAATATAATTACAAATAATTTGTAACTACACATTTACCGCAAGCCCAAACAGATATGTTTGACTAAAACATAATCATTTCAAAACTTGCTTACATTTGTATACGATCACATGTCTCTCTATTATGTGTGGGAATACTTCGGAACAGATTTCTTAAATTAAAATCACTTAGAGCTGATGTCCTGGTGTTTTTAGTCTTTTATGTCCAACAATGAAAATTATTATTATTATTATTATTATTATTATTATTATTGCTCAGAAAACTTGGAGGGCCAAATGAAACCACCCGCGGGCCAAATGCGGCCGCCAGTTGGGGAACCCTGGCTTACGGGGTAAGGAAACTGATAACTATCCCTTTAACATGTTCCCTGTAGACTTACAGTTCATGAGTCTATAAAATTCCACTGAAAATACATAGTCAGCCTTCATCCTCCTTTAGGAACATAGGAATAAAGGTTATTTGGATGACACCTCTTTTCTAATAGGATCCTTGCACAGGAAAATTAAGACAGTATGCCTGCACACACATTCACACACCAGAACATCTGGTTACACTTCATTTTACAGTCCTATTTTGGCTGGTATTTATTTGTATTTGCAATGAAATTACATGGTAACAATAATGCATGGTAATTCAACAAACTCACTCCAGGAACCAACACATCATTATTTTGATT